TATATGGGGACATATTTTACTTCCATTTCTATATTTCACATAATTGCTGCTCATATTTGTTTAAGCCCTCTGGGATTTAATTTATTTGGAGTTTGAGAATAACCAGCTCAATTGGCAAACTAATTTGAAGAAAAATGGGGCATTTTATTTCTCTCACACAATTGTTTGTTGTTTATACAGACACGACGGTGTTCACGTTTGTCAAATCATCTCAACTAAAAGTGCGCCTATAGTTGGTCCCTAAACTTTTAATTTCGTATCCAATAAACCTTGGCTTGTTATACAATTTTTGAAATTTAGACATAAAACTGATATCATGTAGAACACGTGTCTCTTAACCTAATAGAATACGCAAAAATAAAAGTTTAAAGACCAACTATACATTTTTCAAAGTTCAGGGGTTGGTGCAAAAGATGATGAGAAGTATGAATGAAAAGATACCCTAATGTCATGGGGGTTTGGAAATGATTGGGTTTGCTTCTATGTATGAAATTTAGATATTATTCTGCTCTTTGAATTTGGACATGAAACTGGTGTTAGACAAAAAGATGCAGTGTGTCTTGGTACAAAGAGGCAGCCAAAGAAGAGGTTGGCTGAGGGGATTTGTTTAGCTGTGAATTTTAAAGTCAAATCCATGAACATCACCAACTTGTGAATCTCTTCCTTTTCAAAAGGAAGGAGAAAAAAAAAAGGAAAAAGACAGATACTCTTGGTCTTGTTGTAATTGGTCATTCAACTTTCAAAATGTGTATTTTAGTTCACGAAGTTCTAATATACGCAAATATTTTGGTTGTTGTCATTATTCTATTGTCAGTTTTATTTTAACATGCCCAATACTCATCTTAACTATATCTTATGTGGCTTTAATATACATTCCAAAGCTACATCATGCATCTATCCGTTAGACAATTGATGACAAGTTAAAATAATGACAAAGACTGATGTGGTTATTTCCTTGGAGTTATTTAGAGACTAATATAAACATTACATTTGAAGAGTTACAGTGAAAGTTTAATGAGATTTATTAAATTTAATAACTTTTTTTTTTCAGAGTGAGGAGAAACTATATAAGAAATGAATAATATTTGAACTAAAACCTCCCCTGGTCGAATGTAAGAGCCAAGTAGAGAAACACCTATCCCAAATGACAGAAAGGCCAAAACGAGAAATTGTTTGTTCAAAATATCAACCTTGGTAATGTAAACAAAACGAAGCTCATGGAAGCTCTTTCCCAAACTCATAAATGTTCAAAACCCACAGACCTTTCTCCTCCCAATGACGTCGCCTCCCCATTCACTAACTGAACAACCTCCAAACAATCCAACCAAACCATCAAATTTTGAAGGTTAAGATAAATCGCTAGCCAAATCTCTGCCTTAAGAGGGGAAAACCACACCTCAAAAAAGTTGGCCAATGCCAAATTTGGAAACCGCAGGAATGCACCCACAATAATACCAATTCCCGTCCGGGGAAAATAGCTCAAACAAGTTGCATCAACACACAATTGCTTATTAGTGACATTAATATTAATAATAGTAACAATATGACGGTTAAAAGTGATACCGCAATGTTAAATTATATAAAAAGATTACGCATAGTGTATACCATAATTCTATTTGTTTAAAAATTTTAGATTTAGTCTTCGAAACCAGCAAGTTTATGGATTTAGTGGTG